AGGTCGGGGCCGGTCGCGATTGTCCGCACAAGCCGGTGTCGCCCGTTGTCGGCTTTGCAGCCGCGTCGGGGATGAGGACGCGCAGGGAGTCACAGCCTGGCTCTAAGCCCGCGCTGGCTTTCCGGTTTTGCTTGGCAGGTTCCTTCAATGGTGGCTTGTCTACGATGCACGCCCACGAGCTGGGCGCTGTGGTCATCAGGGAGGCTCTCAAGAGGGCGAGCATCAACCCCGAGGAGGTGTCGGAGGTGATACTCGGGCAGGTCCTGGCAGCAGGTACCGTCGTCGATGGATTTACAGTCACTGAATGGGCCGGTTTTCCAGCCGTGAAAGAAACGGCAGGAAAACTTTCCCTTTGTTCTCAATCGATCCGGTTATCTGACGGGGTTTGATAGGCTTTTGTCTGTACAGTTAAATATCTCGTTAATTATCCCATTGAAATATCTTAGGTTTCCTGTTTAAGAATGTTATTCATTAATAGCGTCGAGAGCTAAAGAAAAGGAATTTGACCTACATCCGAGCCAATTTTTATGCATGCCAGAAAAATCAGGTTGACCAAGCTGCTATTATTGTGGGGTTTTGGAGGGAAGGAAATGGAGGGGGATAGGCTGTTTTTGAAATCCGAAAGGGATTTAACAGAGTATGTGTGAAAGTTGCAGCTTCTTTTCATTGTTACAGCATTCCTTCTCTCATGTAATTTATGTCTTCTCTTAAGTTTAACATACCAAAGAAAGATGAACTCTTAAGACAGAGGCCTGCGCTCACGTTTGTTGCAAGACTTACCTGCAAGATCTGTGATTCTGCTTGCTTTGAGAGAAGTTACACATGTTTTGATTTCATGAAAATGCATTTGAATGGCTATCTGCTTTTACCAGCGTAAAAACAAAATGTCATCGGAGGACATAGAGGAGGTTGAGCCTTAAGGAAAGAGGGGAAATAAGAGAAACAAATACTTGTGTATCTTATTTAAAGCTGATTCAAATTCCTGTATATTTTCAGCCTGCTGAATCATGAATTCCCTTTTTCTGTGTCCTTATGTACAAAAGAGCTGGCACTACTTTGGCCTGGGGAGATCAAAAGGAAGAATGTTTTCTTTGAGTATAGTGCTTCTATTCACTCCATCAAGATTACAAAAAAGAATGGAAGCTTTTATGACTGTTGCTGTACACTTGTGGAAAGCCGTCTATTCACGACTTCCAGAAAATTTCAAAAATAAACGCTTTGGCTATTTGCAATTTAAATGGAACATCATCCTATACGTGTACAGCTGGCTAGCGCTAATTTGAAATTGAATGGGCAGTGCATTTCATCAGACCTCTGGAGTCAAAAGCAGTGTTGCAAACGTAAAGTGCCTGTAGCAAGTGGCCAAAGTCCCTGGCCTTGCAAATATTTTATTAATCTACGATATAAGTGAGAGAGGTCATTGAGCTCCTATTTATAACACACTATTGGGAACTTTCTTTTATCTACCAATTAAAGCCAGGAATAAGGTCTAAATTTTGGTGGAACTGGGATACCTTTTATGAAGAGTAATGAGGTCTGCGTTTGGTCTTTAAGAACAGACAAAGGAAAAATACTGTCTGTTCTTGCAGGTGCTGGTCAGAACCCTGTTCGGCAGGCGAGTGTTGGTGCAGGAATCCCTTACTCTGTGCCTGCTTGGAGCTGTCAGATGATATGTGGGTCTGGCTTGAAGGCAGTATGTCTGGCAGCTCAGTCAATATTAATGGGAGATTCCAGCATTGTGGTTGCAGGAGGCATGGAAAGTATGAGCAAGGTAAAGCAAATGATTACACTCCCATTTTCTGACTTCCTGGGAACAAACAGCATTAAGTCATGTTGAAATTGTTATTTCTAGGCTAACACCCTGAGGGCAGATTAAAAGAGTAGCTTTAGTTTCTGCATTTGGGAGTGAACTTACACATGCAACAATTGGCTTTAGTAGCTTTTTTTTAAAAAAAAAAAAAAAGAAAGAAAAAAAAAAAAAGCAAACTAGCTACTGAAAAGGTACCATGCAAGCATACATCCCATTTTAATCCCATTTTAATTTTCCTCTAGCCATACAGTGATGAATGATTTGCTTGTGACAACTAGCAACAGGTTTTTTGTTGTTGTTGCCTTTTTTTTTTTCCCTTTTTTTTTTTTTACCAAAAAAAAAAAAAAAGGCTGCAGGAGATCCTAACAAGGAATAACTGGGAACATTGCTCTCATGCAGACTGAATGCTCACTAAGTGCTGTAAACTTGGAAAGAAAATGAAGCACTTTCATTTCAAGATTTTCACTCTCAGGCCATTTCAAGGAATGGTTCTGGGCAAATGGGCTGATGCCTAACAAGGAATGATTTAGCAGACTGGTACGATAAGGGACCCACAGATTGTATCGGCTCGCAGGGCCAATTAATTTGATCTGTGGAATGAAAATGTGCTCTTTGATGATCTGCTGGCTGGGAAGTGCATAGGCCAATTGCAGCATGCCAGCTATCAGACTCTAGACGGAGACAGATGAGACAGTCAGAGAGTCTCACATTTAACTGACCCCTTTTTTTATGCTTGCCACAAAGCTTATTCTAGCCTGCAGTGTTAGACAAAGGGAACTAGTGTAGGTGGGTGGGGGAGCAGAAGAGGCATGGGTGAGGAAGACTGCAAGAAAGAAAAGTGAGCTGGAACGTGGGGTTGCTACCTGCAGCCCCAAGGTAGGGGACTCCCTCTCTGGCAGGCTGCCTGTCCAGCTGCCTGTCTGTATTGTGTACTCCTGATTCAAAAATCTAACTCATTTCAAAACACTTTTTTGCAGGCTCCTCATATAATTCACATGCGAGCCGGAGTGAAAATGGGAGAGGTTTCCTTGCAGGACAGTATAATCCACGATGGCCTTACAGATGCATTTTATCAGTATCATATGGGTATAACAGGTAAGAGGTGGCAGTCCTGAAAGTGGAATGGTTAAACTGGGAAGGAGGGAAGAATTCACTGTCAGTACGTTTCAGAAATCTGAAGTTTCAAATACCAAGTGTTTCAAGCTGTGCTCAAATTGTAGTTGCGAAGAAGAAAGCAGACCTTAATGTTGAAAATTTGAAGGCGTTTTCTCCAATGTGTGCAAAACTAGGCTTTTTTTCTATCTGAGCTGATAAGGTGTTAATTCTGGAAAAGTACACTTTTGGACTCCCTGGCTTGTGCCTCCTGGCACCTTGTATTACCTACCATGTCTCTTGCATCTGAGCAAATTAAAATTTCAAGAAAAGTAACCAAAATAATTCCTATATGTGACATAGGAACTTATTACCTGAACTGTTAGAGAAGGAGATTGTAGCTGACTTAGCTTCAGCTCTGCTAAGCAAGAGTCAGACTTAAGCATAAGTGCCTAAAGTAGATGAAGGCTGCGGGCCTCAAGGCCGAACTGCCAATGAACTCGAGAAACATTGCTGACGATGTAACATTGCTGAGGATATAACTGCAAAACTGATTAAAACTAGCTAATAAAGATAGAGAACTAGCTAATGAGGGTACAAAGTAGAATGCAGGGGACAAGATGGGATGCACATGGCTCGTGGTTACTTTTGGAGAAGATAAGGGACTGTGGGAAACACGGACATGGCAACCAGCCTGGGAGGTAGGCCAAGACCAATCGGGAGGAGAGAGACACCAATCGGGAGGAGAGAGACACCAATCGGGAGGAGAGAGACACCAATCGGGAGGAGAGAGACACCAATCACTCAGTAAAAAAGATTGGAGGAGAGCTTCCCTGGTGGACAGGGAAATAAAATTGTAAAGGGTGTAATTACCCCAGAATGTCTTTGTTTGAGGTCTCTCCCCGGAGGCACCCAGCTTGAGCTGCTATTTTGTTGTACCGTCACTTAGATAGATAATTAATTTTACCACTGTATGTGCGTGAGACTCTGCTCCTCGGAAACCTAGGGTCAAACTGTTTCCATAACAGAACTTATATAAAAATGTATGATGGATGGAAATGGTTCTGCATTTTCAGAATATTCCATTCTGGATGGAGTAAACAGCCAAGTGCTTTTTCAGTCTTTGATTATAAAACGGAGTAACTTCAGAACCATCCTCTCATCTGAAGTAGCTGTAGAGCTGAGCATAATTATCTGGAGAAGCAATAACCTGGAAAAGCTTGTTTTCATCTGTGTTTAACTTCATATACCCTCTGAAAGGAGATCATTCAGAGATTTTCACCCTCAAAAGAAAATATAGTAGAGAATCATAAACAAAATGAAGGATTTAGAATAAAAGCTCTTTAATGAGTTCAGCTGCTAGCTGCAGCAAATGTTAAATACTACATTTGTGCTAGAAGTTAAACTTACGATTTTAGTAGTTTCTGATGGCCTGAAATGATTATTAAAGTCTGCATTTTGTTCTTATTTCAGCTGAAAATGTGGCCAATCAGTGGCAAGTTAGCCGAGCGGAGCAAGACCAATGTGCTGTATGGTCACAAAACAGAGCAGAAGCAGCACAGAAGGCTGGCTATTTTGCAAAAGAAATCGTTCCTGTTCTTGTACCTTCTAAAAAAGGTATTTGTGAGTGGATAATGACAGCTAATTTTAAAGACCGACCTCTTTCATACTGTCTGTCTGTTACAATCTGCAGATTGTTTCCCACTTACACAGCCTGTTCTGTAGGCTGGAGAGTTGCTCTCTCTTTCAATCTTCAGGGGTTATTTTTGAAATGAGAGGCAGTGTAAATGCAGGAAGTTTAAATGTAGCTCTGTGCCAATACTATTATTTTATTGGAAATGTAATATCTCCCTGGGCAA